TTCGCTTTCGCGGGCCCCTCCGCTGCGTCCCCGGATTCGGCGGATGACACTCACAATTTGACGCGTTTCCGCCCAACGGAACTATGTGCATTATGACGTGAGCCCTGTTACGCGTGTGTTCTTATGGGTCTCGGGGCTCGTGTCTCGATCCACTTAGTTCCGTTCGGCGGAAATGCGCTCGATTTCGTATACCCATCCTGAGCCTCACGTAACCGCGTAACCATCGCTCACGAGTCGCACACCACCCGCAATCATACTCGATCGCGTCGATCTGGCCCATCCGCTCCGAGAGGTCAGATCTGCCGTGCTAAGGAAAAGCGCCGTGTATGCATTTGCATAATGCCAAATTTCCTATCAGAAAATATCTATTTTTGAAGAAAGTTATGAATATTTTTCCTTGAAATTTTCAGGCTTTTCAGGTAAAATTGCCAACAAAATCCTCTGAAAAATCAGACAAGAAATATTCTCAAATTTTCCTGAAAATTCGTCGTTTTTAGAAGGAAATTTGGCGACGCCCATCCGCTTCGAGAGGTCAGATCTGCCGTGCCAAGGAAAAGCGCCGTATATGCATCTGCATACTGCCAAATTTCCTCTCAGAAAATATATATTTCTGAAGAAAATTATGAATATTTGTCCTTGAGATTTTCAGGCTTTTCGGGTAAAATTTCGAAGAAAATCCTCCGAAAAATCGGAGGGGAAATATTGACAAATTTTCCTGAAAATTCGTCATTTTTAGGAGGAAACTTGGCAACGCCTGATGGCTGATAACGTGTTCTTCCTTAGCACGGCAGAGATCCGCTTGCGACCGGGCCCTGGGATCCTGGGCAGGACCGGGAAATGGAGTTTTACAAATCGCTGGAAAAATTACACATGGGGATGGGAAAGGTCCCGCCAGGAGTAGCGCTGGATGATCATTCGAATGTTGCCAACTTTCACTGAGTTACCTTTCCTCGAAAAAATTGAAAGCACCTCTTAGGGTTGCCACCGTCAGGGAATGCCGGGAAAACAAGGAAATATCAGGGAATTTTTAAAAGTCAGGGAAAACCTGGAAATGTTAGGAAAAACGTCGAAAATGTCAGGGAAAAATTTTCAAGTCACCTCTCATCGAATTACCTTTCCTCGAAGAACTTGAAAGCGCCTCTCAGGGTTGCCACAGTTAGGGAATACCAGGAAATGTCAGGGAATTTTTAAAACTCAGGGAAAATCTGGAAATGTCAGAGAAAATAACGAAAATGTCAGGGCGAAATTGTCAAGTCACCTTTATTCTCTTCCTGAAATGGGTTTGACGTTTTGAACAACAAATTTCGCCTGAAAACTATTTCAAAACATGTCTTTTAAGCATCTGGCATAGCCGCAATTGTCAGGAATTTTTACCAAAATGTGAGAGAGAAATATCAGGTAATTTAATTTTCTGCATTTTTTGGAAACCCTGCCCTCCATATTTTTCTTTAAAATGCGTAATATTCTAGATAGGACTTCGAATAGACTTCACCAGGGCCGGATTGAGGATTTTTGGTGCCTTAGGTGCAGTCTGTGGTGTGGGCTTTCATTGAATGCACCTCCCCGAACAAGAGGGCCAGAGGGGTCAAGTAGTAGTGCAGCTTCTTAAGAAGAGGAGGAGAGGTTCGGGGGGTCTCTCTTGTTAAATTTGAAATTTTAACCCCTTTAAAACGCACTTTGAGGCGTTTTTGGGCACAAATCTGAAACATGAAGAAGGGCTAATCTAATTTCTCCCCGTCTTTGCATGGGGAGTCTGACTAGATGTAGAGGAGGACTCTCAGTCTCACTGAGGATAGCGTGGGATATCCCCTCTATTCCGGCCTCTACTATGAGAGCTTTTTTGAGCTTTGGTGTTCGTTTCAAAGAAAATTAGTGGCACCATCGTGTTTCTCACAAAATTTTACGCAAAGGAAAGTATTTAAATCGCAAATATCCGTGACATGCAAGAGCTCTACTGTGCGCAATCAGAGTTCAACTCCAAAATCGGTGTAATACTTTTATTCTTCCTGATTCACCTTTTGCGCTTCCATCAATTTTCCCTTTTCCTTTTTTATCATTTACATCTTTATCTTTTCTGACCCCCTGCGTCATGGTGCCTTTCATGCGGCGGATCGAAATGTTATTTTAACAATTAAACTACCGACCCTGTCTTACTTCCCAGCTTATTGGCTGCGCTTGCGCGACGCGGTGCAGCGCAATGCAACGTTAAGTCTGGCAAATCAGATTGCGATATTAAATCATTCGCATCAGATCTGTGAGAAAATGTGTCTATCACCGACTGGAAAGAGGTAATCGGTGATCGGGATGGGCCCATTTTCTTGCAATTATTTCCATGACTGGCACTGCAATGCGATGACGAAATCGTCGAGTGTGCGCCATTTGGGTCAAGTATCATCGTCCGGTCAGCACTAGACATAGAGAGACAACTGTAGGTGATGGCTGGTTTTTCACAAGTACCTTTCTACTCGACACTTCTCCTCTCTCATCAGTTAACACTCTTCTTGTCCCTCAACTTTTTTTTACACCCACCTCCACAGTCATTCTGATGGCCGAAATTAAGACAGCTATTTTACCTCATTCAGGCAGGACATACGACCACGACTGGCCTTTTAAGATAACATCGATTATCGATATTTCCCTCTTCGTAGCTGTGGTAAAGAATCGATTATCAAGGTGCTCGTTGTGAACACCCTGTTTATCGATATTTTTCCATCGGTTTAAATGGCAGATCAATCGATACATCGCGAAGCACGCCACGCCACTGGTGGTGACGAATGATGACTATGCATGCAGTCTCAATCTTCTATACTATAAGCTCTCAAGCCTCCTAATTTTGCGAAACTGGTAACGCTTAGTTCCAGCGTTCTACAAAGCCGATTTTTATGATTTTTGCGGCTATCGACGGGCAATTGTCTCTAGATAAGCCAACTCTTTTCAGATTTTCAAAATATGGCCTAGGTTTTTTTATATTAAGTGGTAAAGTTGCGAATTCTCCCATTTAAACAATGTAAATTTATATTTTTTGTCATAGTTCGTTTGAGCGTTCTACCGGGCCGATTTCTAAGTTTTTTGCGGTAATCGACGGGTAATTGGCCCTAGATGAGCCCGCTCTATTCAGATTTTGGAAATAGGACCCAGGTTTTTTTACAATCACGTTATAAAAGTGAGTGAATTTTCAGAATGCTCCGAGACTGCTACCGCTATGCGCGGGAGGATGCGCAGTGGTCGAGGAGGTTGCGCAGTAGCTGTGTAGCCTGCGCATCAGCTCTACACTTATCTACACAAGATTCGCCCTCACTTCCTCTAGGCAAGCGGTGGCCGAGTCGTCAAAGACGTCGGAAGCATCCACTCATATCATGGAGTGGGTTCGATTCCCGTCTCTCGAAAATTTTAATTATTACCTGATTGTCAATGCGCGTTGTTTTACTGTAATATTTCATCAAGTAGTCATTCCAAAACGCGTCCTTTAGACTTCAAAAAAAAAAAAAAAAAATTGTTTCTTTATTCATCAAAACCAAAAATTATTTCATTCTAAAAGTAAAGTGTACCTCATATCGTAATTTTTTAGGGGAAAAATAAAACTAACACCAATAGGAGGGTAAAAATAGGGCCGCGAAGCGGCCCATTGATGGCGCGGAGCGCCTTCAGGGGGTTGGGCCGCGTAGCGGCCAGGGAGCGTAGCCCCCTAGTAATACCATATCAGCTCATCAAGTCATCAATGAGCATTATCCACGTATTGAGAAAGTGCATGTTGCGACCCGGGAATCAGTGGCGTGGCGTGCTTTGCGATGTATCGATCGATCGGCCATTTAAACCCATGGAAACGTATCGATACACAGCGAACAGGCGAACACCCTGTAAATCGATTAATTACCACAGCCTCAAATGGGGAAATATCGATGGATCGCAAAGCACGCCACGCCACTGCCGGGAATGGAGTTACGTTCTTTTGCGCTAGAACTGCGATCTCGTCCGCAAAAGAAACAATAAAATAAAGTAAAATATTAATTTATTGGAGGTTCTCCGAAGGGTTTGGATTTTAGAGGGTAATTTTTTTCAACTGCCCTGTGGAACAGGCAAGTTTTAGTTATCGCGGAGACGCCTGAGTTTTGAGCTCGTCCAGGTTCATCTGAGTTCAAGTGGATTGTTTAAGTTCTCCCTTCTGTTTTTTACACCGATGGGAACTCATTCGGAAAGCATTTAAATTCACCCACGACGCGGGTGTGAATGAGCCTTATCAAGCAGAGCATTGGCCCCCGTGTGAATCTGTCAATTTAGCTTGTCGCCTTATGTTTCTCCTGTATTTTACTTTTTCTACGGGCATTATCTTGTTTTTGTTTTGACCCCGGTATTTTGCTCTGTTTTGAAACTAACTGAACATAACTCTTGCTGATTCTCACAACGTCACATATGGAAATGCGGTCACCTCAAGTGTTTACACGTTTTCTTTAGGGGTGCAGAAACTTACAAGGGCTCCCCCAAAATAAATTTAGGCTCCTCCATTTCAAGTTTTCGCAGAAGTTTGCCCGACACATCTTAAAGTAACGCGTTCGACAGTTTTGTTCCCTCCGAACAGCTCTTGAATGTTTTGTTCCCCCAAAAATAGCGCTTAACAGTTTGGTTTCCTCAAAGTAGCGCGCTTTAACAGTTAAGTTCTATTAAAATCCTAAAACACCGCGCTTTACCGTTTGGTTCCCTTGAAACAATTTGCTCAACGGTTTTCTTACCTTAAAATAAAATTTTTAATAGTTTTACCTTGCCCCCCCCCCCAAAAAAAAAGAGAGGGGGGGAGAGAGAGAGAGAGAGAGAGAAAGCAACGTCCCTAAGTTCTCCCACTTTTTACCTTTCTCACAGGGTTCCCCAATTTTTCTCGTTCTCACATGGGTTCCCCAATTCCCGGCCCGTAAGTTCCTGCACCCCTGGTTTTCTTAAAATTTTACTTTTGGCGGGAACTTTACTCTTCAAATAACCTGCTCCATTCTCTGTTTCATTTCTCTTAGATTGACGAAATCGTTGAGCGGAAGAAGATACCGATCGTCGTCGGCGGCACTAACTACTACATCGAGGCCCTTCTGTGGAAGATCCTCGTGGATGCTGATCGGAACCCTCAGGAACTTCGACAATCCCCGTCCCAAGATGGCGACTCTCCCTTTCCGGAGGCACTCTTCGCGAAACTCACGCACTGCAAGGCAATTCTGCAGTACGTCCAGGACGCCCTTCGCGCCCCCATTTCAACCCTGTTCGAGTGCATCGAGCCCGTCTACCGCATCCAGCCGCAAGTGCCGCAGGAAGAACTCCAGGGCTTCTCCAACCGGGTCCTCAACGATATGTTCGGGAAAACCACCGCCATCGAGAACATAAAGCGACACAAAAATGCTATCCAGGTAAATGTCCCTCTCACAACTAACTACACTGAAAAAAAATTCTCGGCGTTTTTACCAAGGTCCGTTGTTACCTTTGTGGCGGCCAATCACCGCTCACCTTTGGCGACGCAGCCCATGCTCGCTCCTGATTGGCCGACGCAGTCTCAACTACGGCTTGCCCCATTCTAACGGCCCTGTTTAGGGCCACCACTTTAGGTCTTACTTAGGGCACACTTCTGGTCTTTGGCCATACCTTTACCATCTCACTTTTTTTTACCAATTATTGGTAATTTTACCAAGACAGACTGGTAAGCTTACCTAAAAACCGGTATATTTACTGTTTTTTTTTTTTTCCAGGTAAGAATACCACTTGTATTGGTAATCGATTCCCGGTAACTTTGCCATTTTATCCCGGTAATTTTACCATAGTCGATAAAAAATATTGGCATTTTTACTAAGGTCCAGTAAAATTACCGAGAAAGTTCAACAATTTCACCGAGATTTCTCGGTGGAATTACCAATTCCATAAATGGTAATTTTTCCAAGAAAAAACTGGGATCAAATAGAACCCTGAATTCTTGGTAATTTTACCCTTTTCTTAGTAAATATACCTAGATTTTTTTGTTCAGTGTAAAGGCCTAGATACACACGGTCATTAATCGCCGTGTGTTTAACGACGCATACTGGACCGAGTCAATACTGCCGCGCTAAGGAAAAACGCCGTATGAACCGTCAGGCGTTGCCAAATTCCCATTTATAAAGCATGTATTTTTTATAACATTCATGCATATATTTCAATGAAATTTTCGGATATTTTAGATTAAATTGCGTAAAAAAACTGTCTGAAAATTTTGGCAAATAATATTCACAATTTGTCCAGTAAATTCGCTTTTTATCGGAGGAAACTTGGCGACGTCAAGGTTCATAAGGCGTTCTTCCTTAGCACGACAGAATAGGAGAAGGCGGACAAAATCTGGAAACTTTGAAAGCTTATATTTTCGATAACATGAAACAAAACAGTTTAAAGGTGGTTTCATTGGTGATTTCATAAAATTGTCACTCGGAAATACCCTTTGAACTTGAGTTTGTGACGAAATAAACATCAAAATTTGAAATTGTAGCCAAAAATTTCATGTCCGACCTCTTCCATTAGTTCGTTCCACTGTGCGACATATTGAATTTTCCAATCGCACTATAGAACGTTTCTGCCTCACGACAAAATCGGCGTCTTTTCGCGTTTTTGATGTGTAAAGCGTATAACGTCTTTATTCTTCAAGATCTCTTAAATGTTGCCTCACCTCACATCCAGTGTGAGAAATTTTCTCATGGGGTAAGAGGGGGAATCCAAATTTAAAGTATGTATCTCCTTTTAGGTAACTATTATTTTCTAGGGGAGAAAAGGGTTCCAGAGCCTTTAAATCTCCTCCCCTCCTGTTTTACGCTACTGTCACATCCCAATATTAGTCTTCTATCAGTCGCGATAGTCTGCGCTTTTTTTTCAGCCCTCTGTGACAGAATGCTAACAGCTGCCAAAGTACACTTGTTTAAACGGGAAATGAAGCTCTGTACGTTATAGATTGGTTAGTTCTCGAATTGTTGACGTTTTTCTTTGATTTCTATCACAGAATAATGCCCCACAAATGCTGTGAACTCAGTCCATGAAGCACCTTTTTGATACAAAAAATTAAAAAAATTAAAAAAAAAAAAAAAAAAAAAAAAAAAAGTTTTAGTGCAAATTCCGTTTGAGAGGCAACCTCCGGAAGAATGTGAACCACCGATGAGGCTAGCAGGCTACTGTAAGTCTGATTTGAACAACACCTTTTGATATTTAGCGATACAGCGCGAGGTTCACGAAATTACTTCACACTTCATCAAGCTGAGATCGGTCAGCTGGGAAAATTTGCTAAACGTGAAACCTCTCTCAAAGTAACGTGTTCAAAAATTCTGCGGCACCTGACCAAGATCAAAGATTATTAATGGAGCAGCCAAAGCCGGAGAGGTTTCGTTGCATCACAACGTTGACATGTTTCACTAAATACGTATTTATTTATGCAACAACGGTTGTTTTTACATTCCCTCCCTAATTTGCTCTGTGTTCTGACGGAAACTCTTTGAAATTTGTATTTTAAAACATGCACCCGCCAATGATTGCAGTACCCAATAAGTATTGAAGCGAAAATTCGCAATGTTGCAATGCAATCATAAGCTTTTATGTTGCGACCCTCTTAAATATCTCCGTCGGGTGAAGCAGCACTGCCGGGCTAAGGAAGAACGCCGCGTGAACATTCGATAGTTGCCAAATTTCCTTCCATAAAATGTTTATTTTTGAAGAAAATTATGAATATTTTTCCTTGAAATTTGGAGGAACTTTAGGTGAAATTGCAAACAATATTATCTGAAAAATTGGAAGAAAAATATGCATGAGTTTACCCGGTAATTCGTGCCTTATCAATCGAAATTTGGCAACGCCTGAAGGTTCATACGGCGTTCTTCCTTAGCGCGGCAGAGCAGGATACCAACACCTATTGTAGCAATTATTTTGCACTGTTACATTGGAAATTCTTCCCTTAAAGAGAGAGGCTTTTGAGTTTCAAGTTTCGGATCGCGTCGGATGAGATAATCGGAAACATAATAATTTTATCCCGACCGGTCTTGTTAATCTTGCGCCAAATCTCAAAATATCGTGGCCGAACCTTAATCCTCAAAATTCAAAACCTCGATCGGCACGATTTTTTTCGCGATCAGTCTCGTCGATGGTTCATAGTCTTGCCTGGTATCGCTCAATTAAAAAGCAATTAGTTCAGGTGCGAGATCATCCCATCATCGTTTTGTTCAGAATTTTAATGATTCATTACCCGATGCCCCTTTCATCATTCGGAAGTTGATCTTCTTAGGTCTCATGGTTAACAGAAAAAAATACCGGCGCTTCGCGCCGGCATTTGGGGGGCTTCGCCCCCCCATCCGCTTAGCGGATTGGTGCGGGGACCGCACGGGACTTTCTCGCTCGAGCCGGCATAGACACTTTTACTGGAATATTTAGAAAAATACTGCCAATTTTACAAAATCATAAAGTTTGATTGGAATTTTGATCACAGGATAATAGTTATGAAATTTTTATTCAAACCACTGAACTTTATTGTAAATGTCTTCGCGATATGTGATGAATTCATATATTCGGACTCGACTTGTTGATTTTATGAGGCATCTTCAATTAAATATGTAATTGATTAACAAAGTCTCCTGTCAAAGATGGCGATCCGTAAAAATCTTAGCTTTTCTACGATTCATTAGGATCCATTAGATTCATTGACATCATACTTCAGATACGATTTTATATTATAATCTCTCCTTAAGCACGGTCAAAAGCCATCAAATATCTACTTGAATGGGTAGAATGACTATTCGATGTTCAAATAGTCTTAAAACTAAACGGTTTTCGCTTAGCATCTCCCAAATTTTAAATTTGGCGGGCGAATCTACCTGCTGGAAGGTTCACCACACGCCCGCCAGGAGCGCCATCTCCTTACCGCGTATCCCTGTAATTCAAAGCGAAAACAATAGAGAGCGCTGAGAGCGCCATCTCCTTGCTGCTGTCAACAAACCTCGGTTTCTAACAATTTATAACCTCCTTTATTAAGTAACAAGCATTAAATCAGTCATATTTGTGCCGTATTATTATATTATATTTGTGCTTAGTACCTCGTAAAAAGGAACCGCGAAAGATGGAATCTGCCGGGATTCTAAATTCATTAACAACAAACATATTAGTTTTTAATAAAGATCTAAGTGTCAGTTCTTGGCGTTAGCTTGATGATTCATAGTACCTTTGTAATGTGAGTATGTATCTAATTAGTTGTCTAATTTTGCTTTGTGATTACCTACGGAGTAATTTTGGAAATAGTATATGATGCATTATATAATGCATTTGAATTCCTAGGTTTCACCTGACTCAAAGCGTTTGCTGCTATTATCTAGAAGCGCTCCGACTCATTTATCAGAGAATTGAGCGTTTCCTATCGGCCCCTCTGCAATTATGAGATTAGTCCATGAATCCTTTAGGAACTTAAATTAATGACTCAGATGGTGCTTTTGAGCCAACTTTCAAAGAATTAAAGGCATTTTTTCAAAATCTACAGTCCATGAGCTCTCCGTGTGACCGAAGTGCTCTCCTCGCTATATGACGCGTAACCCTTCAATTTTTAGTTTAGTCCAAAGACCTCGTAGGAACTTAAATTAATGAACCAGGTGGTGCTCTTATGCCAACTTTCGAAGAATTGAAGGAATTTTTTTTTATTTTTTTTATTTTTTTTAAAATTTACAGTCCTTGAAAATGAGCTGTTTCGCGGAGCAAAGTGCCTACTTTTGGGCCTCGTAATCTCTTGAATTTTGAGTTTAGTCCAAAGATCTTTTTGGAACTTAAATTAATGACCCAGGTGATGTGCTTGATGCCCATTGTTAAAGAATTAAAGACATTTTTCAAAATTTACAGTCTTTCAAAATGAGCTTTCCGTGTGATTTTGCTAAAAATGGACAATTGAGCGTAGCCCCCCCAAATTTTAGCGTACCTCAAAATCGTTGGACGTGCATAAGGAGACCATAGATATGGTGTCCTGTGCCAATTTTGAATGAAATCGAACAGATAGATTCTGAGATAGCGCTGTAGACAGATTTGGGGGACGCCGGACGGACGGACACACATTTTTCCAAGTATGGTTATTTTTACTCCTGGGACCTTAAAACGTCTAGAAATGATGAAATTTCAACTTTTTTTTTTTTTTTTTTTTGGAGGATGACAATACTTCCTCTCTACCCTATGGGAGCGAGAAAGTAAAAATGAAAAAAGAAGGAAAAGAGGAGCAAATTGATCGTCGAAAGGTCAAAATAATGCTTGAAGTCGATAAGGAATATTTTCTTGGTTGATTGGGAAACAAGTACGGAGTTGGAAAATTTTACGAAAAATGCCTGAAAAAAGTTTGAGCTGTCGTTCTTAAATAGTGTGTCTCGTTTGGATAATACGCTAAAACTAGTGCAGTGGCGTGGCCCGTGGCGTGCTTTGCGATATGTCGATTGTTCTGCCATTTAAACCCATGGTAAAGAATCGATTATTAAGATGTTCGCTGCGAACACCCTGATTATCGATCCTTTTCTATAGGTTTAAATGGCATAACAATCGATGTATCGCAAAGCACGTCATACCTCTGCCTCAAAACTGATAATTGCGTCCCGTCCTTCTGTTTTGTACGTGTGGTGGTTTAGATTGTAAGAAAGGTTACCCAACACCCGGACCATCGGATCTCCTACATATATAGTCAACGACTATAGAGTCCTTAGTTTTACTATGATAGTACTTATGTATTAGAATCATAAATTCAGCCATCAAAGGAAAACTTAAGTAAATTGACTCTCCAAAAATTGAATCCGTCATATCGGTATTGTGATCCCTTTACGGCACAGCAAATTTCCTATTCATTATTTATTTTAGGCCGCCGATTAATTGATTGAAAAAAAGAAGACTTAAATTTAAAATGATCGCAAATGATAACCACACACAGTATAGACACGAGTTTTTATACGTCACCTTGGCTAACCATCAACTTGTGTCTGTTTACCTACTTTTGCGTCTAACTACCTCTGCTCCCTGCTCATTTAAATAATACTCAGTTGTTAAGTATTACATCATTTAATTCTTTCCGCATGCCTCTCTATTAGCACATATTCTCTTCGCTTTGTATGAATGAATAATCGTAGCTTGTTTTTCCTCTTGTGTGCGTTTGTAACGTAGAGTATATTCTATTTCAGGTCATTATTCGAATTGTTGAGGAGATCTTCGAGTTCATCTTCAACTTGCAGCAGCTAGTTTCCGAGACTGAAAAGACGAAACCTGGCAAGCCGCGAACATACGTGAAGCATGTGCTCTTACCGAATCTGTGCTCAACGAACACGCTCCTATCCTGCAATTTCGTGTCCGCCTTGTTCCCAGAGATGTCCAAGCTTCAAGCAGAGGTGGAAGAGGCATTGCAAGAGGTAAAAAAAATCAATTTTTCCCTTTTTGTCCCTCCTCACAATACATTCCAACCCCCTCCCCCTACCCCCATGGTATGCAGCTGCTTATTTTACCAACTCCCAAAAGGGGCCACTGGCCACTGGCCAGTGACAAGGAATTTTTGCAGAATTAGTTTGAGTATAGTTTTCAGTATAAAAACCATTTCCTGGAAAAAACACGAATTTCATGTACATTCCAAAAAATCATTTCTAAGGGGAGAAAAAAACGGATAAAAATATGACTAATCAAAAGCTGACATTCTAGTTGGCGTACATAGCACGATGCCTGAAGCTGAGTGCGGCCAATCAGCAAACGCCGTCCCTCGCCTGGCTACGTCATCAAAGTCCACCAGAAATGTCGTTTTAAATGGGTCTCAAAGGCATTTTCAAAACGGGGTGTCTTTGTCGCTGAGGGTTGACGAAAATTTGAAAAATTTCCGAAATTGTAGCTCACTCCATATACTTTCAGAAAATGGATAAAAAAAAAATGGGCCCCATTTGACTCTCTGACCCATTTCGCTTACGGACCGAATGTTGTCAGGAAAAAAACGGACGAACTCGAAATGAGTCACGACTGCACTTAAGTCCGTCATTTGCATTAGCAACTAATTGGCCGACGACGATGCATTTTCAGCTTGTCGAGAGATTCTGCAAAAGTGCCGACAAAATCAAGCCCTTGAAGTGGCAAAATGCATACCCCGTTGACTAATTATTGAGACCGGCATGATGATTTCCGTAGAGCCTAACCAATCTACCACTAGCAAGAAATTTTTGGCAGGTGTTCCCACCAGTAAAACTGCAAGAAACGTTCCCCAACGGTCACCGGTGCCGCTAGGGTGACGTTAGTGACTCTATGTACTGCCGTGCTAAGGAAGAACGCCGTATGAACATTCGAGATCGAGAGCTGCCAAATTTCCTTCGGTAAAATGATTATTTTTCAGGAAATTTATGAATATTTTTCCTTGAAATTTTCAGGAACTTCAGGCGGAATTGCGAACAAAATTATCGGAAGAATTGGACGGAAAATATTCATGAGTTTACCAGGAAATTCGTGTTTTATCAAAGGAAATTTGGCAACGCCTGGATGCTCATACGGCAGTTTACAGAGAAACTGGCAACGCGACGCGACGGGCTTGTTTCCGCACTTAACTTGTACTGTACCCACGCGCGCCCGCTTGCATCGTAGCGCCAGCAAGGCATCCGCTTATCAAATCATGGCAGCCTTTGGCAGTCATCGTGTTAGAAGAAGCTCAGCAAATTAGAATATTACGGATGCTGTAGGAGCTTCATGTATGGTCGTCCTCAGGCGGCCTGTGACTTCAAAGAGGGCAACCGCTGCAACTGTTCTGCCACGTTACCCAGCTGCGATTCTTGAAAGTTGGGAACACTGCTTTTACTCCGTCAGGGTGTCTAGCATCAGGAAAAACCGGAAAATATTAGGAATTTTGGCGGATCAGGAAAATCGGAAAAATCGGACGTTTTATCAGGGATTTTTCTCACGCGAATCTCCTCAGCGGATAAGTCTTACTGCTTTTTGCCTACCGTGCCAGGAGTCGTCGCGCCGTCTTTGTTTCCGATAATTTCTCAAAGAAAAATCAGGAAAATATCAGGAATTTTCAAAATGAAAACCCAGGAATTTTTTATGGAATATCAGGAAAAATCAGGAAAATATCAGGATTTTTCAAAATTAAAAAATACTAGACACCCTGTCCGTTTAAACGTATCTATAACAATCGATCCTAGATGAGACAGACTGTCTCATCTAGAATCGATATTTTCTATGGATTTAAATGGAGCAAAAGCAGCGGTGCCAACTTTAAAGCATCGCAACTGATGTTACCGAAGAAGAGCAGAAAGTGGAAACATGAAGTTTCGTGAAAATGAAATTAGTAGCATCTGGTCGAGCCGATCTTCGAAAATCAATGTTCATTCTGGAAACTTTACTTCGAATATTCGGATGAATCAAATTAACTCATTTTCTCTCCGACCGTAGTAAAAGGTCCTTTTTCATTTCATGTCAAGCAAGAACAACACGTGCTGTGTGCTGCATACAGAGACAAGCTGCATACTTGCATGGTTACATTTTGGACACGCAGCAAAAGAAAAGTCACGTTAAAAATTGACAGGTTATGGTACGGTTTTACCAAAAACAGAAGTAAGTCTCTCTCGCGAACTAATGAAGACATGCCTGGCTGTTTTTTTTCTGGCTGTTCTGGCTATGCCTATATTCGTACAATACCACATTGTTCTCTTAAAATTCTCGTTTTTTTTTACCAATATTCGTGTCTCGGAAGTAAAGAACCCAATTTTAATATGTGTCCTGGATAGCATGGGATCCTCGAGCTGTAGGAGGGCTTATCCCGAAATATAGTCAGCTCGAAGTGAAGTCGTGACTAAATAGTCGTACCTACGCACACTGTAACGAAACATAGGATTGCCCGGTCATGGACTTCCTCCGCAACTTCTTTCCGCTATATCCTTCGATGTTTATGGAATTTCAGGTCCAAACTATGTGTTCTCGAAGCATTTTCATCGCAGAACCTGATTTTGACCTTAGTTTGGTCGATTTTTACACGGAAACGCATGTTTTTGGGTGTTTTTATGAAGTATTGCTCAGGATAGTAGAAATTAAGGTGTATTCGTAGATTTTCTCTCCAGTTTCTCTCAACCGTTTCACTCCCTTTTCCAAAATTCCAAGTTAAATTTCACGTAGTCTGAAGTATTTTTATCGTAGAATTCGATTTTGACCATAATTTTATCGATTCATCGACGCAAACATTACATCACATCAACATTAAGGAAGAAGTATCGGATACAATAAAATTATACTTTAATCTGTATGATTACTGTGCAGTTATTTCAAAGTGGAATAATTAGAACATATTGAAAGAATAGGAAATTAAAGTAAACCGTCAGTTCATGAAAAAACTCTATACTTATTCAGTATACGGTTCGCTATTAGAACACAGTTGACGTATAAAAAACGGTTGGAAGGCCTATCTAATCATCTTATTCGCTGTCGTCCGTTCCGCCATCGTCCATCGATTCCTCTACTTCCTCTAAATCTCTTCGAGAGGGTCCTCTTCGAAGTTGATGTCACTGTCATTATTGCTACGATAAAGGACTAGAAGTGCAGTAGCCTTATGAGTTTTAAGATTTTGCGATTAAGATTTTTGCGTTTTTATTAATGTTATCAACCATGTACAACTGTTTAATGTAAAACTGATTATTTGATGCATTTCCACTTATCTCTTCGATTGTTTTGGATACCAGATTCAGGTGGCATGGCAGTCATCAATAAATGGTCTAGTAACAGTTAGGATAAAGTCCCCTCGTCGATCAATTTACATCTAATCCTACGATGGGAAATCCGTATTGGCCAGTTACGCTCTTTGTCGCGTCTTAAGCGGATGGAACGCAACCGCATAGGTATTTGCTGATGTTTAACACTACTATGCTTAGTCATTATTATGTTCACAATATTACTTAAATAAAACAGCTACGCCTTAATTCGCAGGGTGTAATAATTGGATTAGCGCATCTAGCAACCTGCGATATTTGCTTTCGAGAGAGGCAAATTTCTCTAAGCTTACACCGAGGGGGGGGGGGGGGTTGTTTATAATTTAGGTATCTTGGGCAGAGAAATGCTGGTCTTAAAACCGTACAATATATATGAACAATTGTACATTTTCTAATTTTTTAGGAGGGACGTCCCAACGTACGCTATTGCAGGGTGCCTTGTGCCGTCTGCAAAATTCAATAAATTTCACGAATCTGCGCCTATCTGCAGCCAAATATGGCTGGTTATCATTCTTGAAGGATTACTTGAGCACGCCATATGATTAATTTTTCGGTGAAATGCGGTGAATTTTTTGAAAACTTGCTTAAAGTTCAATTTTTATCTTTCTGAAGCGGGTAACTTTGGAGATACGTGGTAGCCTTCAGCATTGAGATAATTTAAATTGTGACCAGTGAAAAATGTTCTACAGAATCTCAAAAATAAGTTTCAAGCATCAAAATTTACACGAGTTCATCTTAAAACAAAATATAAGGGTCGAATAGAGTTTGACGGAGAGAGACCCACTCGTGACGTCTGGCTTTTTCAGACGAAAATCAAAGAATTTCACGAATCTGCGCCTATCTGCAGCCAAATATGGCTGAATATCATTCTCGAAGGATTACTCGAGCACGCCATATGCTTACTTTTTCGGTGAAATGCGGTGAATTTTTTGAAAGCTTGCTTAAAGTTCAATTTTCATCTTTTTCAAGTAGGTAACTTTAGAGTTACGTGGCAGCCTTCAGATTTGACATAATTTCAATCATTACCAGTGAAAACTGTTCCCCAGAGTCTCAACAATAAGTTTCAGGCATCAAAATTTACATGCAATAACGGCACAACAAAATACAAGGGTCGAAAAATTTTTGACGAAGTGTGACAATTTCAGGAACAGCGGAATCTGCCACATTTGAGGAGCTCTAGGAAAAAATTGGAGGAAAAAAATTGAAAATACATGCTAGATTCGTATAGTATGATCCCTTAGGAACACTTCATGCCCACTCCGGATCCAAAATTAGCGACACCCCCATGTCCGACCTTTTGCCCATTTCGTTACAGTGTGCTACGTCAGAAGGACAACGAATCGAAGTTCAGTTTATTTAAATTAGAGCAGTCGAATTTGCAAGAAAACTTGATTTCAAAAAAAATGGGCGTAACTGCTCTCTTCGGTAACGCGGGAGCGTTGATCCCTGATGGACGGATAAGCGGGCATTTCGCTCACCCGCCAATACATTACTCACGGGTTATTACCGGTTTGGTCGTGTGAAAACGGTCGCGGGGAGGAAAGGTCTATGGAATGTCTTGTTTAATTATTCCATGTTCCCTAACTGCTTGATTGGTTTTTCGTTGATCAGGTGGAGCGGGTGTTGGACGGCGGTGTTTTGGGCGGCGAGGAGGCGGAGAGGGCGTTTCGCGGTCGCGTTGAGGCCGCGGAGAGACGGACGCTCGAACGGCTCGGGGGCCTCGTCCAGGAGCTGTCCAGCGCGGTGGTCATCGAGGAGGACTGCCTCAACCACTTGCCCGTGCCCGAGCTACACCAAAGGCTCAACGACGTCGACCCCGTCCGGGCAGCCGCCCTTCACCCCAACGACCGGCGAAAAGTTTTCAGGTAAGAAACCTTCCCGATCTCTCTTCTCGCTCGTCGAATTTCATCGTCGGGACGAGATTTGGTTGGACCCGGACAAAATTGCAAGAAAAGGTTTTTATCCATCTAAAAACGCAGAAAAATCGGTAGAATCCGAAAGTCTACAGGTTGCCGAAAGTTCGCAAAAATTTCACGCCAAAATGGCCGAAAAACTGAAAAAATTCCCGAAATTTGCACGTTTTTCCTCCTAATTTTCTATTTGGCGCCAAAACTATTGGTCTTAGCGCCAAATTTTTTGCACCAAGGACAAGAGAGAAAAGAGGATGATTTTTGAGGATAAAATTTTACTACAGATAACTTTGTTTTGATGATCATATGGTGGCATTGGACCCCAGAAAATTGCGCCTTAAAAAAAATTGATGGTTCGCATCAATCGCGGATTTCATGAGAATGACCGATTTTTGGGGATTTTTTTCAGTTTTTCGGTCATTTAGGGGTGGAATTTTTGTGAACTTTTGTCGAACTTTAGAAAATCGGATTCCACTGATTTTTCTGCGTTTTTTGATGTATAATAACCTTTTCTTGCAATTTTGTCTAGGTTATCCCCTTTTTCTCGAATTTCGTCCCGACTATCATTGATACTGCCCTGTTTTGGGAAAACGCCGCATCAACATTCTGACATTGACAAAAGAAGGTCATCTATAAGGACCGTTATTGGACCCACTTTGAATCACTTCAACTCCACATGATTTTTTGTTCATTAAAGGTGTATATTTTTCGGAATGCATTATAATTTGGTCATTTGTGGCGTCTTTCTTGGTCTAACATTGGTTCAGACATGGATCCGAGAGCCAATTTTGGCAAAACATGCGGATTTGCGGTCGAATGCTGAAAAACCAAATTTTTCGCCAAATCAGCCCCTAGACCCATGTTTAGGCCAGAGACCCGAAAGGAAGCCGAAAATGAACAAATCCTGATGTATACCGTAAAAAATATAGACCCTCAATGTGGAAAAAATCATAGAGTTGAGGAAAATCAGAATTTCAGGATAGGCCCCAAAAAGGCCTTCATCGATACGCCTCCTTTCATTAGATACAATTCCAGTTTTCTTAAGAGAAGCTGTTAATATTTTTTTATGAGTTTTCAAAATATGAGAAGATAACACTTTGGTACATTGCCAATTATTATTAGTTTCTATAAAATTGACTAGCAATATACGTCAACACATTTTCAATTCATTGAAAGTCCCTAAGTTTGATCAGTCATTTCCTGAGGTGATGAAACTCAGATTCCTCGGGGCCGATTCCGTATTGTTCCCTCAGTTCTGACTTCGTCTCGCCGAGAATAATCGAGAAAAAAGCTGAGGGACAGCTTTGCCGCGCAAGTTAAAAATTTAAAATCTCCGATAGTCGGTTTATCACTCCACGACTTTTAAATAGTAATTCAACCCATCTAAGGTTTGATGAAGCATCTTTCTAAAGATGTAAATGAAATTTTGTGAGTTTCGTTTTGAAGCAATGTAAAAATTGGAAAATTATCTCAGGTACGCCCCACGCATCAATGGGTACAGCTCTAAAACATGAATTTTATCACGTGAAGAATGTGTACGTAGCCGGGAAGTAGGGGGCAGATCCAATCAAAGTAACGTATGCACCATTGATTCGTAAAATAATTTTCTGCTTCTCCACGTGGCGAGCGAAACCTACCGTTTCTTGATATCAAATTCGTGTTTTCCTGCTGAAAGAATGAAATTAAAAGAGAAACAGTATCAGTGGCGCGAACTGGGCATTTCTGAGGCGCAGTTTACTATTACTGACACGCCCATTTACGTCGTAGAATTTTGAAATTTTTGCAGATTCTTGCAGAAATTTTCTGACCGTACTGTGCTTTCTTCCGGTGGCTTTCGCGTGATCGGTTATGTCACATGGTTTTTAAACAGCTAGAAATAAATCGTTGAAGCCACTACCACACGCGCTATCCCGCGCTGCTGCCTCGCCTGACCAATGAGAGTAGTGACTGCCGAACCGTGATTGGTTCAACGTTCTCCTCGCCGTACGAATTGCTGTGCTCGTGACGCCATGAGCCTGATTTAACACCACGTGTGAATCCGTTTTGCGATAAACTTGAAATTGTAAAAACTCGCTAAAGCATGACCCTGCCCTCGTTATACTCTGCCGGCCAATTATTCGAGTCAAAGGTCTCGTTTAAGTGTGTATGTTACAACGTACATTGTAGAGTATTATTTCGCTGCAACGGTACATTTTTATCTCTAGCATAACTAGATTGCCAGATTTTCCGTCCCGAGTGGAGTACTGTGGCAGTCTCAATTTAGACAAGGTACGAATTCATGCACTCCAATAATTACATGTTCCTTAACCAAAATTTCACGATTTGCGCGATAAAGATTACCGGAACATCCCATAACTAAGGTACAGTAGACTCTAGATTATCCGGATTAATTGGTGCTGGGCCCGATCCGGATAAAAAAAAATCCGGATAATAATAGTAAACACAAACACCACCAACCAACACCACAGTATTCTCATTGTGTATACATCATGTACATACCAACACGAATTTAAAAGGTTAACGCTAAATTGAACGACTCAATGGTGACTGTCAATGTTAGCCGACAACGATAAATTACAAAACAACGATTAAAGCGCGCAATGCGTGAAGGATTCATACAGTCGTGTAGCCGCTAATGTGCGTTTTAGGCTAACTAACCGACTGCACTGCGTTTGGCGTAGTGCGAGAAGTATTTATGCATTCTAGTAGGCGCTAATGCGTCCCACGCGGACCTCACTGTTTGGCGCAATGCGTGAAGTATTCCTTCAGCCTTGCAGGCGCCAATATGCCTTGCGACCGCTTCTCCGCGGATCCGCTCACTAATCGGAATGCGTATACGTAGTTACATGGTTGCAAAATCGATCCGGATAATCCAGAGTCCGGATAATACGAAGCCGGATAATCCAGAGTCTACTGTATTGAAATTTTTAGTTTACATCGGTTGCGGGAAATCCAAATTTCCCGCTCATAAGGAAAACCATAGGCTACCTGAATCAAATCGCCCTCTACAACGGTTTTGACAAGCTTCTTAATCGAGCAATTTTCCCTCTCCGCCTTGTGTTTCTAAAGTGTTAGCAATGTGCAACAGCTGAGCCGAAATACCGAGATTGAGGTTGCCATACTTTCATACAGCATAATGACATTTCGACGGTGAAAGTCGGCTATCACATAACTCGGTTTGCGACGTCGCAGACTTCCTGTCATACTTTATTTTTTAAACAGAAAACTACTAAACGGTAATTCTTTAAAACTGCCGTGATTTTTCTTCTATGTGGGAGGAAATTTCTGTAAAAACTTCAAGGAATCATGTCCATTTGTTCTCCTTTAAAAAAATAACATAGTTGCGGAGATTTTCAGACACCGCAAACGAGTTATGTGATTGCCGACTTGCACCGTCGATTCAGTGCGCGACTTGGCACACGCAGACTTTCCTATCTTCATGAGTGGGAGGTTTGCGCATCCATTTTGCGTCTTTTCCGAGAGTTAGGCATTGCGAGCAGGGAACGCAGGCATGTTCCAGTACCTACCTCATCGTCAGTGGAAGTCTGACCCTGTTTTCGTATGAAATGGCTCAATTTGAAAAAGACATACATTTCAAAAATCTCGGAAGCCGTCCCTTTTTCGAGAACTAAGAGTGCTCAATGAAATCATTTCAGACGACGTATAAAACATAGAATTGGCAAACTCAATCCGCAGCAAAGTCGTAATTGCTGTAGTTTTTCCTGCTATCTTGTTCGTTCCAAATGAAAACATTGTTTCATTCAAAAAGAAAACGCCTGACGAAGTCACTATACTCCTTTTGGCGCGGAAATACTTTGTGCCTACGCCAGCACACAGTCGGATCAACGTCCAGCTTATTAATTAAAATAGCGTCGTGGTGTGGAGGTCATCGCGGATTCTCACCAGCAATTCCGAGAAGTTAGATTAATAAAATTAAGTATTCTGAAATTAAAAAGCTAGTTGCAGTATTGTCATGTCATTCCTCGGGAATGTAGAATTTTCTCATGCCAGTAAGAATATCCACTTTCTCCTATGTATTACAGTTAATAATTGAAGTTAAAAATTCGCAATGAAAAAAGTGTCAGTATGAACGAAACCCTTGGAAAAATTTAACAGCACTCTCATAGTCCATGTAGATTACAGCTAGTCCAAAAGTCAGTGTTCCGACTGTATCACCATTGTCATCACAATTATTGAAGACGAACTCGACAGAATGAGAAACTTGAGATACAATAAGGAAGGATTAACGTGTGTTCCTCGTCGGGACTATTTTTTTAAATTCTTTCTTTCTTTTTTGTTTTTGTGTGTGCGTGTTTGTCGCAATAGGTGGTTTCAAAATGTGTAAAAGCGCCAAAACTGCTGCGCGCAACTATTCGTGCTCTCAAGCTGATCATATTGCCATCATAAATATTGAAGGCGAACTCGACAGAATGAGAGACGTGTAATACGAGAAGAATCGATGTGTTCTTTGAAGGAGCTGCCGGTGACCGGAGAAATGGCAAATCTACTGCGCGCCACAAGATTTCGATTTCAATCTAGTTTTTTTTTTTTTTTTTTTTTTTTTTTTTTTTTTTTTTTTGTTTGTAAATTTTGGAAGCAGATGTGACTAAAAATAAGGTGAAAATTTCTAAAATAGCAGCCCGTGACAATGGTGATGTCATAGGAGGAAAAACGGCAAACAAGGCTGAAAATTACACGTACAGGATTTTCTCGGCCATCATGTAGTCTGCAGGTTTCTATTTGGAATTTTTCTATTTTATTTTTATTCTTCCGATGAAAATGGCTCAGTTTTGGGCCGAACCGTCTCGGGTTTTTAATGTGTAATGTTTAGCCTTGTTTCCCGTTTTTCCTCCTATGTTTTTGATATTACTAAGAATAAGTATAGATCAGAAGAAATTTTTTTTTTTTTTTTTTTTTTTTTTTTTTTTTTTTTTTTTTTTTGGGAGTTTTGTGGC